GGTCCTGACCCGGTCCCATCACTCTGACCCGGTCCCATCACTCTGACCCGGTCCTGACCCGGTCCGATCCGCGGCTCTGACCCGGTCCGATCCCCGGGTCCGACCCGGTCCGATCCGTGGTTCTGACCCGGTCTGATCCGCGGTTCTGCCCCGGTCAGATCCGCGGTTCTGACCCGGTCTGATCCAGTCTGCTGGGTTCAGAACCAGCCGGAGGTCCTGACCCGGTCTGATCCAGTCTGCTGGGTTCAGAACCAGCCGGAGGTCCTGACCCGGTCCGGACCAGAAGAACTCGACTCGTCTTCGGTGGATGAAAACTTCGGGTTCAGCCTGGAAGTGCAGATCGTTCCCAGGATGATGCCGAGTCGGCTCCTGAAGCGTTTGCTCCGTTGTCGGCGCTTCCCTCTGCTCGTCAGCCGTTGCCGGGGGCGACGGTGGAGGCGGCGGCTCCTCTTGATCTCCTCTCGTCTCCCTGAAACCTTTCGCTGCTCCACTCCTGCTGCAGCTCTCTGCGTCTGAAGTGTAACTGCACATCAAAGGCGCTGGACGTCAAGTGATGCTTTGAAGGACTCGCTTTATTTGGAACCACAGAGAAAATCCTCAGCTGCAGGTTTTAACTGGCTGTTTATGATCAAAAGCAGAAGTTTATTATAAATGTTTGCAAAGAACACTTCATGGTTTCAAGGAATCATTTCACTGTGGGCTGAAAGACAAAACCAGCAGCTGTCAGCCTGTTTACTTCATCTGAAGCTGTAAAATCAGACGACCAGAAATTCAGGAAACAAAATGTTGACCTGAACGTTTAGTTTTTACTTCAGTAGATTTTCTTCACAGTCTAAACAGAAAACATCCCCCTTCAGTAAGGACTCTGAAGGCAGCGTCGGCCAGGAAAAGCCTCCAGAGCTAATGGCTGTTTAGCACTGTATTGTTTTTGCTAACTTTGAAATTGTTTAGCGCTTTTAGCATTTAGCTTTCACTGATGCTAAGGCGCTAAATTGTTTCGTAAACCTTCAGTTGAATAAAGTTCAAAATGTTTATCAAAGTTTTGGTGACGACTGAAACTGACTGTCCCTCTGTCCCCCCGTCCCCCCCGTCCCCCCCGTCCCCCCGTCCCCCTGCAGCCACAGAGACCTGAAGCCAGAGAACTTGTTGTTAGATGAGAAGAATAACATCAGAATAGCCGACTTCGGCATGGCGTCTCTGCAGGTCGGGGACAGTCTGCTGGAGACCAGCTGTGGGTGAGTCCCGACCTGCTGCCTCATCATTTCTGGTTTCTGAAACTTTTCCTCCTTCACTTCTTCGTTACGTATCAAATATTTTTGGTCCATTGCTGTTAAACTCAGTCATTTCTGTTTCTTATGTTAAATATTTGTTTTAAGATTTGAAGTTTTCGTTTTCAACTGCAGAATTTTGTGAATTTCTGGCAGTGAAACAACCCCACAGCATGACGCTGCCAGCACCATGCTCTACAGTTGGTGATGTTTTCTTAGCTTTGAAAGCCTCACTAACTTTTCCCATCTGTTTGTAAAACAGAACAGCAGCTGCTGAGTTCAGTTTCCGCCAATCCAACATTTCCACTGACATTTTTCTGAACCACTCATCACTGGAGGTGTATGTATATATTTGAGCCTGTATGAAAAGTTTTGGCCGCTAGTGGAAGAGAGAAACTTAAAATTAAATCCAAGGTTGCTGTTTAAATCAGCAGATGGGTGTGACCTGTGATGACTGAACGGAGCAGCTGACCTGATGTGAGTTTGGAGTTTTCTGAGAATGCTGCAGGATGTTAGCGGTTCCGACCCGTTCCGCCAGAGTCAGGCGTGTGGAACGGTTAAATCCACGTCGCTCCTAAACGCCTCACAGAGAGCCGAGATCACAGCGTTGGAGGCTGAGCAGAAACTCTCCTGATCATGTAATCAGCAGCTGGACGAGCTGCAGCTTCTGATGCAGAGGTTTTTTTTACCTGCTGCTCGGTTCTGAGGGTCCGTCTGAAACCGAACCGCATGCAGGAAGAGCTAAACGGGTTTCTGGAAACGCCTCACCCAAAATAAACATCATGAGTCTGTTAATGCAGAGATAAACATCTAACTAAATGAGTTTAATCAAAACCTCAAAGCATTTCTTTTATTTAAATAATGGATTTAGGTTATTTTTATTAGATTTGTTTGAGAAATGCTGAGACCTATCAGACTAGCACTTTAGCAGGGATTTAAAAGCTCTTCTTGGTGAGTCGGCTTCTGTTAGCATTGAAGCAGATAAACTCCTTATCACCCAAATGCTTGTTTAAAACATAGCTTTAGTGGATGGAAGCAGCTGAAAGTCTCAATTTTCTCAGCTGAAAAAAGTCTGAACTTAGCTGCAGTAACATGTTTGGCATCAAAACGTCATGTTATGCTAACGCTACATGTGGAGGGAAGTCAGAAAACTTAAGTCCAAATCTCTGCTGCAGCTGATCACTGTGTGTGCTGATTGATTGATTTATTGATTTACAAGGATCAGCAGCAAACCTCAAAATGAAAAACTGAAGTTCTTACCTGAGTAAACTCAGCCTGATTCCTCGTTTTTGGTGAATAAAGAGGGAAAAACAATCAGATTTGAGTAATTTGTCTCAGGAAACTGATCGATCCTTTCGTCGGTCCGTTTGTGGAACATAATCTCTCATATTCTGAGTTTGGCCACTAGAGGGTCTCAGTGAATCTGTGGTTAATTTTCTGCTGTTAAAACTGGTTTCTTGTCATCAGCTGCTGTAAAGTCGGTTTCTGGTCCGTAAAGTAGAACCAGCAGCTGCAGATCAGCAGCAGCCATGTTTGTTTTCCTCCTGCAGCGACTGAAACTTCCTCCTCCACGCTCCGACGGGTTCGGGTCGGATCGGCTCCACCAAGTCCGACAGGAAGCTGTGATCAGACGTGTTGCGGTCGACCTGCTTCACCTCATTTACATAATTAGGAATGTCATCAGTGGAGATGAAGTGTGTGTGTTTACACACTGCTGGGGGAACCGGGCTCTCCGCTTCGCTGGTTCTGAGGACCAGACGGAGGTTCTGCAGAACCGACCTGTCAGAAAATACAACATTTAAATGCCGTTTGTCACATTTAAGTTGAAATATTTATTAGCAGATGAATTGTTTTTGTAGCTGTTTGAGATCTGCTGCAGGATCTGTTACACACTGAAAAAACACAAAATCTAACCAAGATTAATTCACTTATTCATGTTGAGTAAAATAATCTGCCTGGGGAACGAGAGCCTTTCAATCAATACTGAGGATTATTAGAACAGGCTCCTGTGTCTTGATGAAAAGTTACTTGTAAGTTGGTTCAGTCTTACTTTAAGTGAACTAAGATATTTGCAGCAGAAACTTGACCAAAATTACTTGCTAATATTTCGTGTTTTTGCAGTGCAGGTCGATTAGTCGTCTTGTTTTATTTCCTCTTTCCAGGCAGTTTTTCAGAATGTGAAGTGATGAATGTTTCCCACTGCCTGCAAATGAAACCGAGCAACGTTTCAGGAGGCCGAGGCCAGCAGACGATGCATTTCCTGTCCTTCTGCATAAATATGTAAAAATAAACATAAAAGACAAATAAAATGAAAACTGAGGAGACTGGATGAAAAAAAGTTTTCTGCAGGAGAAAACTTGAATCTAAAACTTCAAACTGACATTCTTCCTGTAGAATCACAACTGTAAGATATTAAACATGGAAATCCTCTTTTCCTTCATATTTATTTTCATTTTTATGAAGTGAATTACAGCTACAGTAACTGAAGCACCTCAGTTATGATTTACTGAAAGGATCTCACACAAGATTCAACCAATCAGAATCTGATTAAAAACTCTTTAAATGCACCGAAATTATTGATTTCTGTTAAAACTTCGTCCATCTTTTCCTGTTTATTCCTGCAGGGTCACTTTTATTTAATAAAATGTAGAAATGTAGAATTTATTTATTTTTTATGTAAACTGACCCCAGATGTTAATAAGGATCTGGATTCAGAGCTGCTGGTTTAAATCTGCTTCAGATCAACACCAGGATCCACCTGAAAAGAAAAACCGTTTTATTTCTGTTCTTCTGTCTCGGTTCTTCCTCCTCTCTCTGTTTCTGTTCTTCTGTCTCGGTTCTTCCTCCT